TGTTAAAATATTCTTCCTTATTGGAAGGTGTTCGTCCCTCCCATTTAGATAAATGATAAGGTATTCATCTATAGGGTGCAAGGAATCCTTCACCATTTGTATAACCACCATCTACAAGGTAATAATAACTAATAATAATAATAATAATAATAATAATAAAGACCCTATTAGTATTTTGTAGTTCACAAACAAAACTAGATCTAACTTACAAATTTGAGACTAACTAATAGTCTTCATCGCTGGAACCTTTAAATTATTAGGCCTAGTAATTGCATTATGTAGCACTCTAGAGTCTAATGCAGAGCCCTCCCACCACGGAAACACATAGATGAATTGCATATCCCCTAAACAAACACCTAACACATTAGTTGCGACTTACCCTTTCTTGTTCTGTATCTAGGTTTGTTAATTTCAGGTACATGCACATAAATGTGGGTTCTATCTAATGCTCCCAAGCAATTCTAAACAAAAAATAAGCTTTTGTTAATTTATACAAAGGGAATATCTAGTTAAAGCTTAGGGAAAATTGAAAAATTATCAACATACCTTAAAACACCGCCACCTATGATCTGTAGAATCAATAGGCACAGGCTGAGAGACTTTTAGTATGATCCTTGTAATCGCAAAATTCCTTGCAATACACTATTGAAATACCTACTTATAGTTTCTCCCAACCTATAAAATCTACCATGAATACTACGATTCCTAGTATGATGTGCTAGTATTTGTAAAGTAATACACACCTGCTCCTCTAGAGACACTAAACAATCATCTTTTACCTCCCATCTTGACGAAGGAAGTCACATAATATGCCAAAAGTCCTTCTATCCATTCTCAATTCGTTGACACATTCAATATCAGTATTCCCTATTATACCATTTAGATAACAAAAACTAATATGTTGTCTAACAAGTGAACAGTTAGTCAAAGTGCGTTGTTCAACATGTCTTTGTTTGGCCCTGAGCATTAGCAACACAAGAATCGTACAAATGCAAATTGTCTCTAAATGAGACATCTGTAACAATAAGATCAATAAAAATTTATTTCTATCCATATCTATCCAAACTAAAAAAAAAAAGGAAAAAAAAAATGAGGACATGATATATGTAATATCATTGTTATTAAAGGTGATGGAATAGAAGTAATTATGATATCAATTGAATTAGATCAAAAGAATTCATGATACAAAGCAACTGGATCACAAGGTTGCAAGTTACTGACAATGACATAATAAGGGACATCAAGTTTGTGTACTGACAATGACATAATACGAGACATCAAGTTTATGCTCAAGGGATGCATGGATGGAGCATTTGTTTGTACTCAAGGGACATCAAGTTTGTGTCTTAAATGCACTTTTATATAGGAGTGATGCATACATGTAGTGTAGGCATGTGAGCGCATCAATAAAAGAAAACTAATAAAATGAAAACTGAACAAAGAAATAGATAAGAATGAAATCTTCTTTTCACAAACCAAGTTCTGTTTTGTGAATTTGTAACTGCAAAAACAATAAAGAACCAATCAGAATACAAGTGAAGCTAAAGTCCAATATTGGTGCCTTTATCTGAAGGAGATATGCATACGATATGGTTAAAAAAGGTTGAAGATGGCGAGGTCCTGGAACAAACCTAACTTTTTGTAAGATGTATATTAAGGCACTCGATGCTAGATATCTTTAGTTGTACACCTAGAACGTAAATTCTGATATTTATGAAAATAAAACTTCACCTTGATCACATTAAGGCAGTGTAGATATCTCCATATATAACCACTTTCATATTAACAAGTTGATGTGCTAATATACACGTTGTGAGGAACATGTATGAATACATGCCTCCAAATGGCGAGCATGGTAATCGAAAAATTTCAGATTCACTTTTAAGAAGAAAATCCTCACCACCACCACCACACCAAAAAGTAAGCATATGCAAAGATTAGTTCATAAGACAAAAAAAAAAACTTGAAACTCTAGTCCAACCTGATACCAAAAACTCTAGTCCAACCTGATACCAAAATCCGTTGAAACTAGACCTAAATTACAAATTTAACTTTGCATCCACCCTTACAGCAACAATTTCATGATGATTATCATCATTTTGGTACTGAAAATGGCATAAAATGTGAAAATCCCAAATTCTAATCTCAATTTGACCCTAAAAATCAAAACCCTAAATTGTTCAAGTGTAGAGGTCTATTATTGAAAATTTCTCAAACCCAAAACACCTAAATCAAATAAAGCCCAGTAATATCACGATCTGCAAAAAAAATCGAAGAAATAATGTCGGATTAGAAGTTTACCAAACAAGAGGAGCAAATGAGGGCGAGCAGGATGCAGCTGAGGGCGAGCAGGACGCAGAGATGAGGATGAGGAGGAGGACGATGAGGGAGCAGGGCAAGGAGGGAGCAGGGTAAGGATCGAAAGATGTGTGACGACGCTCTCTCTCTCTTAGGATGAGCAAGGTTCTCTCTCGCAGAAGTGCATGAGGTCTTATGAGTCCGGGGGTGTTTAGGGTCATTCGTTAAGAACTCCTAGCGAAGGGTTTAATCCTAACGAGTCGGATTTAATCCCATTAAACCTAATCCTTGTGCATACCAAACATCAGACTATTAGTCTAGTCTAGTCCAGTCCCACCTAAGAAGGTCAAACAAACACCCCCTAATTGTCATCCAAAATCTTGTGAATTACCATTTTAACCCTCTGTTGATGCACAAAATCGATGAGATTTTGGAACAACGTAGAATGTCAAGTTTGTGACCTTTGCTCAGTTGTTCCGGTCACCTAGTGTTGATAATGTGTAAAGAGATAGAGATACGGAAAGAAACACAAGATGTACGTGGTTCACTCTAAGTTTGGCTATGTCCACGGGATAGAGGAGTTCTCATTAAAAGTGAAGGGTTTACACAAATACATAGGTTCAAGCATAACCATCATTTATGGGTTTTAATGACTAGTTTAAGTACAATAATGACATTAGGGATTAATTGTAGGAGAATGGTATTCTTTTATAGTTGAGTAGAGTCTTCAGACTTTGTCCGTGGTCGAAGTGAGACTCTATGAGCTTTATTCTGACATTAACATGTGTCGTGCAGTGATTGGCCTCTTGGTGGGAGGAAAACTCTTGCACTTTGGCAGGGGTACCTCAGCATGAACCCCTCAGCCTTGAAGGTATGAAATTGACCGGTGCTTGGTAGTTTCGTGATTGGTCACGTATGGTACAAACACCCTCTAACTGAAGCTGAACATGAATAAGAAACCAGGGCAGAAATGTAATTTCGCACAACCAAAATTCTGCGGTTTTTTTTTAAAACCTCACCTACATGTGATTCTAACATATTCTAATTAAAAAAATCAAATTAAAAATTAAATCTCTCTCTCTCTCTCTCTCTCTCTCTCTCCCCCTTTTTATTTTAAAAACAATATTTGACAAAAATAAAAATTATATTTCTCATACAAAAAGTGTGTGGCATTTGCTAGTAATTATATATATATATATAAATTAACAGATATATAACATAATATTAATAATATCGGTTTGGTACAGTATACTACCGATAAAGGTTTTGGGTATCATTACTGCACTAAAAGTGTATGGTTCAATATAAATACCGTACCCATTATCAACTGGAACTAAGTTTCGACATAAATTAGGTATAGTAAGACTGGTACCGTAATTTGGCAAAAAAAAAATAATTACCCATAAATATATATGTATTGCGCATTGTGTTAGATGAAATTATATGAAGAAAGGTGGAGGCGCCGACGGTGCAAAAGTAAAATTACATAAGACACAAATGCACAACTTCACAAAAAAAAAAAAAAAAAAAAAAGGTTCCTGATTCCTTCTCCCTTCGGATGATCATCACGCAGTCCCCGCTTTCTCTTCTTGTAACAGATAGCTTCTCAACCTCGACCAATTCTCATCTGTATCCCTAAAGCTTACAATTTTCTCCTTCAATTATGGTCCTAGAATCCAAAGATATTAATGTTGCTGATTTTGAAGTTCCTTTCATACGTCTTATAGCATAAACATCATTGAGACATATTAAACTAGAGATCATACACAGTTTAATATGTAAATACATTATAATTTTCTCATATGAAAATAATCTTTTTTTCATAAGTTGTAGTGTTCTTTCCGATCCCATTTCCAATTTGCCCACCTAATTCTAGCCAATTGCTATAGTGTAATCTTATGCATTCTCATCATTCCCCGAACACTGTAATGCTTAACTTATTCCATATTAACAAACTCGACGTTTGCATGTAATCGCGACGTTACTAAATCGAAAAACTTATGTATTATACTAAAGATTTATGCGGAAAAAACTTTTGGAGACTTGTATACTTGCAGGTTGTGATTACATCAAATCTAAAATGCATTGACTTTGAACAAGTTAAGCTTTACAATGCTCGGGGAATGATAAGAAGTGTGACATCCCACATCGTTCAGGGAAGTGATCCTTATACGTATATTCTCATCTCTACCTAGCACAAGGCCTTTTGGGAGCTCACTGGCTTCGAGTTCCATTGGAACTCTGAAGTTAAGCGAGTAGCGCGCGAGAACACTCCCATGATGGGTGACCCACTGGGAAGTTCTCGTGTGAGTTCCCAGAAACAAAATCGTGAGGGTGTGCTGGGGGCCCAAAGCGGACAATATCGTGCTACGGTGGAGTCGGACCCGGGAAGTGGTTCCGCCTGGGTCGGGCACTGGAAAGTTCTCGTCTCCCAAAAACAAAAAAAAAATATATATATATATATATAGACACACACAACACATATGTTCAATTATATATATATATATATATATATATTTATAATGTCATAATGCCCATCCAATATGTATATATTAACAGTTTAACTCTTTAATATTGAAGACGTTGAATAAAGAGAAAAAGACATGTATTTGAAATTTAATTAGACTAGTTTAATTAGAAAAAGTACAGATAATAGATGTGAAATGAACTAATTGAGCATGGTTGGATATATAATGGATGTATATATTAATAATTTAACTATTAACATTTTTTTTTTGTTCATAAATTAAGCAAGCTTCCATCTAAGCATGGTTGTAGCAGCAGCAATTCGACTTGGACCGTGTTCGTGTTATTGAAAATGCATCCATCAGCATCAGGGTATGATAAAATCTAAGAGAGTCTTGAAGCAAGCAAGAGATAAGTAAATTACGTTATGTAATAATTCACAGTTCACGTATATATAATAAGAAAAATGCATCAAGATTGAATAAAAAAAAAAGTCAAAAAGTAAGAGTGAGAACAATAGATTGAAGAAGGTACCTGCAACTTCTCTCGGCGCTGCTCTCTGTGTCTCCATTCGAAACCCTAATAAAACGGGGAGCACACAGAAAATCGATTTATTTGACACGGATGATCGATTTATTTGTACTCACAAGCAGAAGCGGGGGAGGCGAGTTGGGCCACAAAAGATGACAATTCGGCCCATTGGGCCAGGCACGAATTTGCCCTACATATTGGCCAAGAATGATTCAGAGATATTTTTTATTTTAGTGGGAGATTTCTTAGGATAGATAGTGGGTTATATAGAGAAAAAAAGAAAGGATAAGGTTGTAAATAATACCACGTGATACGTCGTGATTGGTTAAAAATCTTATTGAAATATATCCTCAAAGATTCTAAACAGGTAATGACACGTGACATGACGAGATTGGTTAAAAATCTTATCAAAAATCTATCCTCAACAATTATAAACAGATAGTGACATGTGACGCGACATAATTGGTTAAAAATCTATTCAAAAATCTATCCACAAAAATTGTACTTTCAGATAATGACACATGACGTGACGAGATTGATTAAAAATCATATCTGAAATTAAAAATAAAATTATTTTTTATTTATTTTATAAAATAAAAATGCTAATATTTTAATAGGAATTGCTTGGACTATTCAGTTTAGAGGTAATAATACACTTAGCAGTTACTCTACTATTTATTTAAAGAGATTGAATTACTTATTGCCTAGAAGCACCTTACTCCATTGGAATTGCTCTTGTAGAATAGAATGAAAGGGAATGCTCGGTAGAAAATTTTGAGAAAACTCACAACGCTATAATTTTTTTCTTTCCCATTTTAACCCTCTAATGCCCTTGGTTTCATTATCAACTTATTAATTAGGTTTTAAATTGACTGTAATCTTAGTTTATTGAGAAATTTTTTAACAATCCTATTATTTTATAGGAAAACTAACGAAAAGTCTCGCATGATAGCACTTTACTTTCACACGTAAACCTCTTTAGTGTAGATAATACCGTTTATTAAATAAATAAATAAAATGATGTAATTGCCTTATTGAGATGTTTTCATTAACTATTTTATGGAATTAATTCCAGAACTATTATGTTATCTACCTTCATCTAAACAACATTATTTCTACTGATTACCAGTTTTAAATGTTAAAAGCGAGTACATTACTAAGTTCACGAGATATTCAATTTCAATAGTTTGGAAACTAATCCGTTGCCTCTGGGATTAATTCCGATGGATTTTTTTGCCATGGTGCATGATTATCAAGGAATTTTATTTCAATACAACTTAATGCATTTGGTGAATTGGATGTGTTCAACCTCGAACTGGAAGTGCGTTCGGGGTGTTTGGGAAGTGCGGGTGTTCGACCTTGAACCTCGAAAGGGAAGTAAACACCTCAAACGAGCCGACTTGTAAGTGCGTTTGCTTGACTTGAACCAGCATGACAAATCTAGGTCCAAACACCACCACTACAACTTTTTGTGCCAATCATCCGACTTGCAAATTTCATTTTAACATGACATTTTACCATTATATTAGGGTACAACGCGTGCCATGATAGTTACTTAACGAAAAAATGGGTATTTATAGTATCCTTGTGCTTCATGGCCAAGACTTTGGTCATTTTTTCTTGGATTTGCAGAAAATGAAGTCCTCTATGTTACTCAAATTTATGAGCATTAGTAATTACTTCTCCTTTTAGCATTAGCAAAAAGATTGTCAACACATAGTATGGGTGGGTTCGGTTTCATTCGGTTCAGTTTTTTGCCAAAATTGAAACCGAACCAAAACTTTGGTTCAGTTCGGTTCAATTTCCTTTTGGTTTTTTCAATTCAGTTTTTTTTTTCGATTTGCTTTTATTCAGTTCGGTTTGGGTACAGTTTTGGTTCTTTTTTATTTTATAAAGGGAAATTTTATTTAGACCCATTTATCCTCTTTTTACACCCAACTTACCATTATTTTTCTTAAAATTCTTTGCACTCAAATTGAAAATGAACAAAAAATAAAAAATAAAATTCCAGCACTAGAAAACTCCAGCCACCTCATCTCTCTAAATCTCGACACCCTCAATTTCTACCCTCCCAACCCCACACTGCCACCTTCCTTACCACCCACAGTGAAAACCCCAAAGATCTCAACCATCACTACCTCTCTCCCAATCTTCCACGCAATCCTTCTAACAATCTGAATTCTCTGAAATAGCCGACCATTCAAATCTAACACTATAGTAGAAGTAGGATTGGAAGTTGAAAATTGTTAAGTTCAAAACTTCAAATTATAGCCATCGATCATTGAACACAATTTGATAAGAAAAAGGATTAATCAACTAATCCCAATAAAACCCAAAAATAGTTCGCATTGATAGCTAGATTTAGTTTGCATTACAAAAGAGAGTTCAAACACTTGAGGTGGAGTTTTTCGTTGACAGTTTGCTTCCAAAAGATTATGCATTTGCCTGCAAGGTATTAGGTATCGATACCAATGCAAATAAGGGTACGCTGAAGTGGTTCTTGCATTTTGCATGGGAGAACTTAATGAGTTTTGACAATACAAGTCTACACTGTTGTGGACACACTCCTATTTTCAAGTCCCTCAATGTTCTTCACTTGCGACAAGTTAAGTGAGTGATGACATTCTCAAGTACCTTTTGTCTAACTATCCAGTTCTTGAACAACAAGTTAGAGTGAGTGATAGCTGAGATCTTTGGGGTTTTCATTGTGGATTATAGAGAAGGTGGCGGTGGGGTCGGGGAAGAGTAGAAACTGGGGGTGGTTGGGGTCAGGAGAGGAAGGGTGGGTAGAGTTTTCTAGTGCTAGAATTATTATTATTATTTTTTTTTTTTTTTTGTTCTTTTTTTTTTTTTGGGTGTAGAAAGAGGATAAATGGGTCTAAATAAAATTTCCCTTTTATAAAACTTGATCATTTTTTAATATGCAATTTAGAAAAGAGGCTTGTATTATTAGACTAATAATAAGAAAATAGGAAAAGTGGGAAAGTGGGAAGGTAGTTGTACATATACAAGATCATATAAACCAATCCATGCTATCAACAACCTCAATTGCAAAGAAAAATGATCATCGTATCCAATCAAAAAGTAAACAAATAGAGAAGTTCTTCCAAGTTCCAAGGCCTTCCAAAACTTTCCTCTATAACCAATGAAATATCCTCCCTAATTGAACCAAATATGCTCCTTGAAAAAGCCCTAGGCTTAGTTTCAAACTTGGCAACAAAGTTTCACAAAAATGAGCATACATTCATAAAGTGTAAAGGGATTCGATTCGGTTCGGTTTGATTCGATTCGGTGTTCGGTCCCCAATTTTTGGGTTTTCAGTTTTTTGAACCCACCCTTAACACATAGTGCGCACAAATCACTCAGATTTCGTGTATAATTGTTTCTACAAATTAAACCTCTTTGCTTCTCTCCTTGTTGGCGGAAAATTTGAGAAATGAGTATTTATGTACAACAAATCCAAATTACCTCAAATACAAGGTTTTTTCTTCTACTCGTTCACTTCTTCGAAAAAGCATCTTTATATATGCTGGAAAGAATCGTGAAGAGCTCGAACCACTCAGTCCTTTAGAAGTTTTACTTCTTTTCCTCAAAACAGAGTTCCTGAAATCGCGTTAAGCTGCAGTCGAAGAGCCAGAAGTTCAGTGCATAAACGGCCAAAATACATGTAATAAGTTTAGAAAGTAAAATTAAACCCTGTATCGTAAAAGTACTCAATAATTTACCGGGAAGCATAATGGAACTCAGTTCAAAGACATACCGGTTCAGAAGAACATTAGGATTGTAAGGAAACAGATTCTTTCGGTGTAGACTTTCAATTGAATTTTTCAACGTAAGTAAGCACCCTTTGGCTTCTTTAAAATACTTTCCTCCATTTTGAGTGCCCTTGCAACTCCACACTTCCGATGCAACTTTTCTTCTCTTAGATGATTGATTTGTAGCTTGTCGACACATTGAGAACTCCACAAATAAGCTCCATGAATCAAACACTTTACGCAAGCACCTATGAAAGAATGCATTGAGCACAGTAAGAAGAAACTGAAAAAATACAATTACTGGAATCAAATGCGAATCTCTAGGGTCAACTACATTTGTTTTCTTTCTCCTTTGTTGCTAATCAGTTAAGAGAGGTCATTCAGGAGTAGAGGGTTCATGCCTCATATCGTAATTCACCATTTCTATTCATGGTTAACGAATAATTCAAAAAATCAAAGAATAAAACCATAATAAGGCTTAAAGTAGGTAACAATCACCAGAACAGCAAACAAGCTTAAGGGTTGAATTTGAAACAAGCAAAAGTAGCAAAGTGCAATTCAAGGTCCATTTGATAACCATTTCGTTTGTAGTTTTCATTTCTTCATACTAAACAAAGAGGCAAAGTAGATGGAATGATGAATGAAACAAAAATGTGGAGAAAGTGTGGTAGAAGGTAGAACGGAGGAATGTGCATGGAACAACAAAATAAAAACCAAAAACTAGAAAGAGAAAACCTACTTAAATTTCTCCAGAGTTTTTGGTTTGGTTTTCGTGTTGTGTATCATTCTATATTCATTTATTCCACATTCTTCCCACCACCCTTCCTCTATCCTTATCCATCTCTCCTTTCTTCCTTATTTCCTCTTTATGTCTAACCAAAACGTGAAAACTAAAAACAAAAAATGAAATGGTTATCAAACTGTTTGATTCAAATGGGCCCCTAGCTTTCTCAAGTTTAGAGAAGTAGAATATAACTATTAGAATAAAGACCTTAAAAGATATTCTGCGCAGCTGATTCCGGTATCTTTCGAAATAAGGTAATCAAGGAGCACCTGATGGTCATAGCTCAACTGCAAATTGAAAAGATGTAAACTGTCATACCGTCAAGGATTCCTTTCCCCCCTCCCCCCCAAGACCACCGACCTCAAATTAAAAAATAGAAACATGCCAAGGTAAAAATGGGTAGCTATATAAATATCAAATAATGAGCATCTTGCCTCTAACAGAAATAGATGGAATAAGAGCACAGGATTGAAAATATCCGAGACACGAAAAAACGTATTGCCCTCTGAATCCTGAAATGCTCCCTTTTCCTTTTCCAACCTACATTAAACACAAAAATTGTTAAAAAAGAATCCGTGAAAATACTATTCAGAAAAATGAAAAAAGTAGGATATTTATTCCTTACTGTTCTTCGGCACAAAAAGGTACAGAGAGCAATTGCAGGAGAACTTTGAATAATACATCATCCTACAGTTCAAGACAGGGCCAAGAAATGAAAATTTTGAGTACAAATCAACGAATAACGCAATCCTTCAAAGCAATAGACACGAGCCAAATACATTAAGAACTTCGATGCACATATAGTACAATTTAATTAACTATGCAACAAGTTCTGAGGAAATAAAAAGTCACACCTCTTTAATGTATAGTTGGAGGAATGATTTAGCAAAGTCAACACATTTTTCAAAATACATTTCATGGTCCACTGACATATCAGTTGGAAGATGCCCTTGAAGCCAGCTATAAAGCTCCAATAGACCTTTCTTTCGTCCACAACATTCCAGCTCTGTTTTTGAGTCACATGTCAAGCATAAGTTCCAAATCGCACAAGCACATTTGTTGTTAGTTCCTTCTTTCGAGCTAATCAAACCAAAAGAACACCTCAGAAAGAGGAAAATAGCCTGTCTTTGCAGATGGTGGGAAGACAGACTGTTTACTTCTGTATCAGAAACACTGGATAGAAATGGAGACCCTTCCAGGCAATCATCCTGATATTCAAGAGGAGTAATGGGTTGTCGCAGAAGCTCTCCAAAGTAATCATGGACAAGTTGCAACCATGAAACAAGAACTGACTGCTGAGAGTAGGTTCGGAAAATGAGCCTGATCATCAGCACCTGTAGGTTTGCATCATGTACTTGCAATCAAATTATACTGTAGGGATTTAACACAAGCATAAGTAATAATCTAATAAACTAAGTCAAGAAGCGTGTTTCCAGGAAAATATGCATATAACATATTATGTTCTGTAGATTTATATAAATGTCATTATAAAACTACAACAGTAACGCACCAAAAGAACATGTTAATTCTCATATAAATACAAAGGAAAATGTTATAGGAGATATTATTGTTTCCAAAAGAAGAAACAGATATTGACTAGCATCTCTTTAGTAAAGGCCTATACCACACCAGCATCATACGTACACAACAACTTGAGACTTATACAGAAGGTATTGGCGGGAAGATTGAAGTATCTAGAAGTCTAGGTACTACTGAATCCAACTCAACTAAGCTTTTTTATTTTTACAGGAACTTAACATTAGAAACGGGAAAACCTAAGCCTGCTGCTTAAGCTATTTTCAAACTGCAGATGCAAGACAGTTATCCATGCTTTGTGACATCAAACTTTTGTGTCATGCTTAGGTTTTCTGCATAGATACACAACCAACATCCCTAAAATCTTCTAAACATCAATAGTTATCTTCAAGAAAGGACTCAGGCAAACACATACCAATAACTTGTGTCTAAAGTATTGAGAGATGCACTTGTTGAAATTAATGCAATGTGCTTGCTCACCAAGGCACCAACATAAAAGCTGCGGAACAAGGGTGATGAGTGTAGAAAAAACTGGGTGATGTTTGTCTATAGATCCACCTGAAGCTTCCGCAGAACCACTTTGCTCAACCATGGAACAGAGAAACTGAATCAAATTTCCTAGAAACAAGGATCTTTGAAACAAAGCATCAGCTCTGGACCCTTTCTGAGCATCAGGGTTTGCACCAACATGAATCTCATCTAGCAAATTCCATGGCACAGTTGGAAGAACGGAATTGATAGAATCAAAGAACGCTTCAATAAGTTCATCATCGTCTTCTGACTTCAAATATTTCCTTATATCACGTAAAACCCGAACAACAGCAGCCGCAATAGACCAGTCAGCATTTTCCAGCTTAGGCTTTAACGCAAGAATCAACCTCGACGAACAAGAATGAAGATCATCAGCTCCATCCACTGACCATGATGAAGAACAAGACACCGCCACAGTGATCGCCAAATTCATACAAACACACAACAAACGGATAAAACCCTCCCAGTTGCTCCCCTAAAAAACACGTAGAACTAACAAATGAAACACAAAACCCAGTAAAATCCCATCTATAATTACATTTGTACGAGTTAGGGAAGTTGTAAAATACCGAATCAACAAGGAATTTCGACACAGCAACAAGAACATTGCACGCCAGATGCTTGACATATTGACTCTCCACCGTCAGCAAAACCATCTGCTTGAAAAACAGCACAATTTGAAGCTCCAACGTATACAAAGTTTACAAACAGAAAAATGAGCACATATGATTCATTCATATGAAATATATATACACGCACATATACATACATATAGGAAATTACCAAGTGAGTTACGATTTTAGTCAGACACATACAATCACTCTCACAATCCAATCCTATCGCCACTCCCTGATCAAGGAAAGTTTGAGCCTTTTTATCAGAGCAAGTCAAATTTGCAGTCTCTAGAATGAGAGAGATAGAGAAACTGACATTTTCAGAGTCGGAATCAAGTGCTTGGGTCCAGAGCTTGACTTGTCGAAGAACCTGAGAGAGAGTGACCAGAACTTCCCTCTCTTGGGCTACCAAAACGACGCCGGATTCCTGCAAAAGGAACAGAGAAATGAGCTTCTGAAACACCAATGAAACGAAACCCTAATACGGCAGTGTGGACGGAACTGACGGTGTACGGACGGAGAAAATCGTCGTCCAAACGGCACAGCCGCGAGAGCTTCGAATCACCGCACATCGCGTCGGAGAGTCTGGAGGACACGAAACGCAGCGTTTAGAAGGCTGGTTGGGGTGTTCGCTGATATATTGGGAAACGTCAGGGACAGTTGTGATATATTGCAATTGTTCTGCTTCAGATCCAAGCCGCTCATTTTTTGGCGGGTAAAAGTGTTGAACTAATTTATATGCCACCGTCGTATGAGATAGCAGCTCTGATACAAAAATGCACCTCCGTAACCTCGCCGAAACAAGCGCGGCAGCTCCACGCTCTCCTCCTTACCACGACCACCGTCGGCTCGCGCTCGCCGTACCTGTACAACAATGTCATATCCATGTACTGGCGATGTGGATCGCTTGGGGACTCGCGGAAGGTGTTTGACAAAATGCCTCAACGAAATCTGGTTTCATTCAATACGCTCATTGCGGCCTATTCCCGGGACTCAAACAGTGCGATTTTGGCTTGTGAGCTATTTAACGAAATGGGAGTTGAATGTCTTAGGCCAAATGGTTCGACTTTCACGAGCTTACTGCAGGCGTTTTATACTCTTGAGGATTGGTTGGTTGGCTCTTTGATTCATGCCCAAGTTCTGAAGTTTGGGTTCTTGAGTGATGTTTGTCTTCAAACTGCTTTACTTGGGATGTACTCCAACTGTAGGGATTTGGAATCCGCGAGGAAAGTTTTTGGCGGGATGGTTGATAAAGATGTTGTTGCTTGGAATTCAATGATTTTTGGGAATTTGAAGAATGATGAGACAGCGGAAGGGCTTTCTCTCTTTGATGGCATGTTGAGGACTGGAATTGTTCCTACTCAATTCACATATTCAATGGTCTTGACTGCTTGCAGCAGATTTAGATATTTTTATCTGGGGAAACTCATCCATGCCAGAGTCATAGTTTCAAAAACGCTAGCTGATTTAGCTTTGCAGAATTCCTTGCTTGATATGTATTGCAATTCTGGTGACACCCGAGTAGCATTTGGCGTGTTTAAGGGAATGTGCAACCCGGATTTGGTCTCTTGGAACACAATGATTTCTGGGTGTTCGGAACATGGTGATGGTGAGAAGGCCATGAATTTATTTGTCCAGTTGAAGAAAACGTCGTTTCTTAAACCAGATGAGTATACTTTTGCAGCCATCATATCCGCAACAGGCACAGATCTAGTTTCCAACTATGGCAAGTCACTTCACGGACAGGTCACAAAAGCAGGATTTGAGAAGAGCATTTTTGTAGGAACTACACTAGTGTCTATGTATTTTCGAAAGGCTGAATCAGATGATGCTCAGAAGGTGCTTTATTCCATCAATAAGAAGGATGTTGTTCTATGGACTGAGATGATCATGGGTTTTTCGAGATTGGCTGATGGGGAGAGTGCAATTAAGTTCTTTTATGAAATGTGCCAGGAAGGCTATGAGATTGACAGCTTTGCTCTCAGTGGAGTGTTGAGTGCTTGTTCCGACCTTGCCATGCTAAAACAAGGTGAGATGATTCACTCATGGGCCGTAAAAACTGGGCACGATGTTGAAATGTCAGTTTGCGGGAGTCTTGTAGATATGTATGCAAAAAATGGTAGCCTTGAAGCTGCTTGTTCTATATTTTCCCAAGTTTCGGACCCTGATTTGAAATGCTGGAACTCAATGCTCGGAGGATATAGTCATCACGGCATGGCAGAGGAAGCATTGAAGCTGTTTTTCAAGATAGAAAAACACGGTCTGAGACCAGACCAAGTAACATTTCTGTCTCTACTCTCAGCTTGCAACCACAGTGGTTTGACTGAAGTAGGAAAGTTTTTGTGGAGATGCATGAAGGAAAACGGTATCACACCTGGGCCTAAGCACTACTCTTGTATGGTGAGTTTGTTAAGCCGAGCTCGGTTGTTGGATGAGGCAGAGGAGCTTATCATCAGTTCACCGTTTAATGAAAATCTTGAACTGTGGAGAACTTTGCTGAGCTCGTGCGTCGTCAATAAAAATTTGAAAACAGGAGTTCATGCAGCACAGCAGGTTTTAAGTTTGGACTCAGAAGACAGTGCAACGCATATTTTGCTGTCAAATCTCTATGCTGCTGCAGGAAAATGGGATAGTGTTGTCGAAACAAGGAGAAAGATTAGGGTACTGACGTCAGAAAAGGATCCTGGACTAAGCTGGATTGAAGATAGGAGTAATATTCAGGTATTCTGTTCCGGCGTTCGATCAGAACAGGAGGTAGGTGAAGCCGAAGCTGCATTACATTCGTTACAAGGAAGCATGGTAAGATTACAAACAGATGAATTTGATGAACCGATTTATAATTTACATGAAATGTAGGACTTTGAAACATCATTACTTGGAAGTTTATTGAAACAATACAACTCTTTCGAGCTTTAAGTACCTCTAGCACTACTGAGTAACCAACCGACAGGGCGTTCATCCTAACACTTTCAGTTTGCTTGAGCCGAAGTGATGTTCAGCAGAATTCGAGGGAAAAATAAGTTTGACATGAACTGAAAAATTAAAACTCGAAACCGACGAATAAAGTGACCGATGTAAACTTAGAAATTCCAAGGATGATCTCTGTTCAGACTGGAAATCGAAAGACCAAACTAAAATCTTCAGCAAATTCACGGTGCAACACAGTAGACACGTAGAGAACTGAAAAGATGTTGAGGCTCATAAAACAGGGATTTTCTTTGGTACTCAGGACTACGGGATACTCCAAATGTTATAACCGCCAGGTCTTTGTTTAAACGTACAAAAATAAAGATCTAACGGTTAAAATACCCGGGAACACCCTAGAATTTATGCAGAAAACATTGGCAAATGAGTTTGAAATTCTCAAGGGTGTGTTTGACAGAAAGCAGATTTGCCCCCTTATTCTAGGTGAGAAGGTAACTAGAAATCTGGGAGAAAAAGCCGGCAAGAAATGGGGTAATGCCAGAGGTCGAATATAATACCAACCAAATTTAGCAACAGAGAAACTACACATAACTTGCAAACTATGTAGAGCGATAGATAGAGAAAAGTTAGCGTTGCCAATTTACACAAATCAGTTATTGTTAACTTAGCTTCTCGTGTGACGATTGCACAACGAGGGTACACCGAGACTGCTCTTCACAGGCCAGTGCCATCATCCCAAATTGCTCTAGCTTTATTGTATGCAACTTCTCATTCTGTGTATGCGATACCACAATCGCTAGAGGAAGCTTTCAATATCCTTTTCCCTTGAAATCTTTCCTCTGCTGGAGTAATGTTGCTGTGTCTTTTACATGGCCTCGAATAGGACTCGATGCTCTAATAATTCTGATAAAACACTCCTCATTTTATCAACTGAAACCGGTTTTAGTATAACACCATCCACACCAACCCTCATGCAGTTCTCCTTTGTAATCTTGTCTATGCTTCCGGTAAGTGCCACTAATGCCGGCCGCTCATGACGTTTTGTGAACTTTTCATGTATACGGACAGCAAGTTCATAACCATCGATTCCTGGCATGCTCACATCCATGAACACCACCTTGTGCTCTTGTGAAATAACATGCAATGACTCATCGATTAAGCTTACAGCTGTTACATCACATCCTAGGTGCGCAAGGAGTCCCTTTGTCACTGACCTGCTGACCCTGAACGATTAAAAGAATGGGAAGAAAACGGAGCTCAGTGAGAACAAGTAGAATATTGTTCACAAGCCGTAAAAATAAAAGAACAACCAGCCATTACACCTTGAATCTCATAAAATTCACACATATAACTATACTTGCATCTGCTGCTCATTTAAAAGTGTTGCACCAATATGCACCCACTAAGATCACAAGTTAAAAATTGTTTCCACACCTTGACAGAGTTATTTGGCAGTTTATAACATGATGTTTCCGAATGGATGAAATAATCGTACGATAACCTAGAACTGCTATTCCTTTTATCCAAATACTGACTCGGCAATTAAAAAACATCAAGTCAAAAACCACCAAATAACTAATGAATGCACTCACTAATTCCAGACCTCACTCCCAAGCCAAATCTATTATCACCGCTCAAATTGATAATGGTATAGTATTTCATAACAAATTTAGCTTGTTTATAATGTATATACTCATTCCCTATTTTATAAAATAAATACTGCTGGAGGAAACAACGCACCAAAAAATTAACTGGGTAGGAAAGGTGGCTAGTTACTGACCCATTATCATCCATGACAAGGACTTTCAACCCTGGAAAGTTAGTTTGAACATGATTTGCTTGCAGCTTGGGTCCAAAAGGCAGCTTAGACTCATTCGAACGCTCTGGAAATCTGAGTTTCACAATGAAAGTGGCTGTGCATCCCTTGCCAAGACCTTCACTTTCAATCCAAATATGCCCTTCCATAAGATTTACAAATCTGATCACATCATAGAAACCAAGATTGCATTACAACTGCATATAAATATATCTCCTAGTAATATTGATTCAAACCTTCACAAAACTTGAAATGCTAAAAAAACAGGTGGATAGTCATACAAGCTCAATGCATAGTTTTCTTTTTCTTTCATTTTGCGAAAACGATAATTTCAGTCCAATACTTTATGCCACTTTCCGCTACGGCCCCTCTAGTTTTATTTTGGCATCCTTACGGTTTTGTGAATGCTAGCAATTAAATACATTTCAGATTTATAACAATTACGGAGACGGAATCTGCACATGACACACGTGTATGTGTGTTAAAAACTTTAGAGCTTAGTTATAATCCACCATGCTATTACACATAACTACACTAGAGATATAGGGATTTGGATATAGTGAATTGAGGACCAAAATAAAGATTATAAACTATGTAGTACATAATTATAATTCACCCTTTATCTATTGTGGTTTAGGTGGACTTTCGGAACTAAATCAAGCACAATATGGCAAAACAAAAAAATAAATACCTCTTACAAATTGCCAGGCCAAGTCCACTACCACCAGAATTTCGGGTGGCTAAAGTCTGAGTTTGTGCAAATTTGGTAAATAGCTTTGGGATATCCTGAGGATTGATTCCAGATCCTGAATCTTTGACCTACGCCAGAAAAAGAGAATGTAATATACCATAATAACTTCAAATGAACAGAATAGTCTTCCCTCAGATTCAAACAAGTATTTGAAGAAACAAACCTGTACGCGCAGATAAAAGTGATTATCACTTTGCACTGGAAAGAAATCAGGAGCCCGGAAATCTCGTAAAGATTCTGATTTTGCAACGAAAGCTGTGATTGAGATGCTCCCTTCTTTTGAGAACTTCACAGCATTCCCAACAACATTTAGAATAGTTTGCATAAGACGCTTTTCATCACCTATGGCATACATTGGCAAATCTGCAGCTATATTCAATGTAACTGACAACCTTTTGATAGATGCAACAGGCTTAATCATATTATGAACCTGCAACGAAAAAAAAACCATTTTACTGATGCAAACTGCCACAGAATCAATGGAAATCATGTAATCCAAAATAACTCATAAGTGGCAGGAACACATAACCATACCTCTCTAAATACGGAATGGAGGTTAAAAGTTGCTATTTCAAGTTGAAGGCTGCCATCTTCAAGCCTTGAAAGATCCAAAACATCATTTACGAGGGTAGCCAATAGGTTGCTGCTCCTTAATATCGTTTCAACCATGAGACGCTGCTCAGGTGTGAGCTCAGTTTCCTGTAGCAAAGAAGAAAGAGCAATAATTGCATGCATGGGAGTTCTCATCTCATGGTTCATAACAGCCAAGAAATCATTGCGAGCACGAATTGCAGTCTCCGCTTCTCTCCTGGCTAAATCGAGCGCAATATTCTGCTCCATAAGGAGATCCCTTGCCCTCATTGACTCTTCTAATATTGCAGCATGTGACAGAGCAACCGCAACCTGTGTCAACGACTCAACAATAAGAACTAATAAATGAATGCTTCGTTATATAATAATATATGAGCAGGTGTATATTTTTAAGAAAGCAAGAAACAGGGAAAGAACATCTTTAGATAGGCAATCTGCACTTTTTATTTATTCTCTCTTTTATAAGATGTTTTTCGGTTAAATAAACCTTTCTATATGCCAAGTAATACAGCATTTAAAAAAATGCATTTCATTTCTGAGAATCAATCAACTACAACTTGTATAATAGGTTCCTGAGATTTGATGTAATTTCACGTTACACAAAGGGTTATAGTAAAAGGATTAGATGGACCGTAAAACATCGACAAAAGAATGAACCTTTCCATAAACAAACATTTTTTTCATAGGACATCATAGGTACTACTTAACCTCTTCAAATGTGGATCTGAGCAACCAAAAGAAACTGTATTTTAAATTTCCTTTTGGGATTTGGTTGTGGAGAGATTTATTACCATTGTCATAAAGATTGTACTTAAAAAGATACAGATTGTGGTTTTTTACCTGATCAGCAACCACTTCTACCAATTCTAACTCATGAACGTGCCATTGCCTGGCACTATCTGAGGGAAGCATCAAGACCATCAAAGCATAGCGTTTTGTTGAGAGCTCAGGCCAGTCATTAATTTGGAAGTTAGAGAGATGTAAAAGGGGCACACGAACTGCAACAACTTCCCCAGGAATGTGCCTTCCTGCAAGTTGCCTCAGTCTTGCCACTGGAGAATTTGGTGATATTTTTACTGCACGGTTGCTACTAAATACTTGATTGATCACAGGAAGATGAATGGGTACAGTATATCCTACTTGATTCTGCTGACGGAGTGTATAGGATAGTTGAAGCTCTAATCCAGTACGCGTTGGCATCCACAAGGCACACTCTTCCAATGCCAAAGTTCTACCTAACTCGACAAGTGTAGTTTTAAGTATAGTATGTCTATCAAGAGTGCTTCTGATTTCATGGGTCAACATCCTGACATGTCGACCTGTTTCCTCCTGTGTGCGGATAAGGCCCATTTCTCTATCGAGCTCTGCAGCCTTGTTCTTCAAGAATAGTTCTCTAGTTTTAACACTCAATAAATCAGGTATAATATGTACAAGCATAAGGGCAGTTGCGCATGACACCACCGCAGTTAAAACCTTTGCCGTGGTCATTACTATGGCCACAGTTCTTGAATGCATGCTGAACGTCCATAAGTTGATAAGATGAGTCGCCCCACACAGTACAATGAAAGCACCAAATTGTACGAGGACCCATCTGTATGGAAACACTGCAGACTTCTTGACAAAGTAGATCAACTCTAGCGGGATGGAGAAATAAGCAAGCGCAATAAAGAAATCTGAAATGTACTGATATTTCATCAGCAATTCATCAGCCGGCCATTGTGGCTCAATACAGTTGCATGCCAACATGATGATTGAGCCACTTAAACGGATATTACTTGGTCTGTTACATGCCTACAACATATTATACCGTCAAAACTGAAGCAAATAAAAAAAAAACAGAAAAATGAAAGGGAAAAAACAGCAATAATCTAATCACCCAATAGTACTAATTAGTAATTACAAAAGAAAATTATGATATAACAAGTTCGCATTACGCAAGTGCAAACTAGGCTCCATTGATCTTTCAACATTTGATCATTTAGAGCAACGCAATTTAAATATAAAATTTCAATTAAACAACAACGAAAATTTCTGTCTAGAACCTGTACCCAACAACTCAACCCTTTCAAAATCCAACCGATAGTATAAAAAAACGAAGAAGAAAATACAACCATAAACCGTGATCATCAGGAATGAATACATAAGCACAAATGGAAAACCACATTTATTATTTATGCCTTGGGATCCATTGACCAAAAGAAAGAGCAAGGATCCTGCCACACATCCAGCAATTCACTACCAAATACCAATCCATAAATCCCTAAAGTCTCAACTCTGATTCAAAAAGTTTCAAATGAATCCCACTTCTCAATCTTCAAAAAAATTTAAGCCATAATCTGCTTACTCAAGTTTCTAATCTGCCTACATGCACTGAAGTGAAGTTCTAAGATTTCAGCTCAATGAAAGTGAAAACCCACCTGACAAGTGAGAAATGAGCACAGAAAGCGAGGGGGTGGACTGACAATTGACTGTCGCAGAATCCCCGGCCGTCCGCGGCGGCAGGTCAAGTCGGCGCCGGTGAACTGATATCGCTAGCAAACACAGTGCGACGATCCAGCCGAGGAGAAGAGAGGGTGGGAGAGGAGACGTCGGGCGGACTAGGGTTTTTGAAAATTGGGGATGGAGATATCCGTACTCCATTGCATTGATATAATTCACTGTCACGCAGATTCAAAACGCTGCGTTGTGATATCATTGCAATTTATTGTATTTCCAAAATGAGAGGATGGACGGTTTTGATATATTAAATTTGGTCAACTTGAAATGTGAACCGCTCATGTTTTGGCGGGTAAGAGGCTTGAAGCCTTGAACTAGTTTACGTAAAAAATGCACCTCTTCATGAGATCTCTTTCTTCGCAGCGCTCTGATACAAAAAATGCACCTCCATAAAACAAGCGCGGCAACTCCGTGCTCTCCTCCTTACCACCACCGCTGTCGGCTCGCACTCACTGGCATTTCCATGCATACGCAATCTCATTCACTTGGTGATATCATGAAGGTGTCCGACAAAATGCCACAATGATATCTGGTTTCATTCAATGCGTTCTTTGTAGCATGTTAGCGAGATTCAAACAGTGCATTTTTGGCCAAGTAGCTACTTAAAAAAATGGGAATTCAATGTCGTAGTCCAAATGGTTCCGCTTTCACGAGCGTAATGCAGGCATATTATACACTTGAGGACTTCGCTCTTTGATTCATGCCCAACTTGTTCAATTAAATTTGAATTCTTGAGTGATTTTTGTTCAAGCTGCTCTACTTTTGATGTACTTCAACCATGGGGAGGTGGAATCAACGAAAAAAGTTTTTAGCGAGCGGGATGGTTGATGAAGATGTTGTGCCCTGTAAGTCTAGGAGCTTTGGGCCATGTGAAGAATGATGAGACAATGGAAGGTGGTTCATCTCTTTGAAAGCATGTTGAGGACTAGTGTCTATGTACTTCAAAAATGGTGAAACTGATGAAGATCGGAAAGTGTTTCAGTCCATCTTAGAGAAGGAAAGATGTTCTATCGACTGAGATGATCATGAGATCATGAGTTTTTGGAGATTGGGGAGAGTGAATTTACGTTCTTTTATGAAATTAATGTTCCAGGAGTTTGGAGTGCTTGAAGCTATTTCGAGATAGAAAAACATGGTTTGAGACCGGACCAAGTAACATTACTGTCCAGTCTCTGCTTGCAACAACAGTGGTTTGGTTAAAGTAGGGAATTTTTTGTGGAAATGTATGGAGGATAACGGTATCACACCCGGCCCTTAGCACTACCCTTGCATGGTTAGTTTGTTAAGTCGAGCTCGATTGTTGGATGAGGCAGAGGAACTTGTTATCAGTTAACCGTTTTGTGGAAATAATCTTGAATTGTGGAGAGCGTTACGAAGCTTGTGTAATAGAGCAGGTTTTAAGTTTAGACTCACAAGATAGTGCAACTGACATCTAGTGCTGTTGACATGAAGAGAAAGAATAGAGTACTGAACTCGAAAAAGGATCCTGGACTAAACGGGACTGAATCAGAGCAAGAGGTAGCTGAACCCCAATCTGCGCTGCATTGGCTACAAGGAAGCATGCTAAGATCACAAACCGATCAATTTTAAGAATCGATTTATTCTACGTCATAAGTTTCAGAATCTTGAAGCATGATTCATTACATAGCATCAACGCAGCTTTTTCGTTGAAAAGGTTTTGGAACTGATACAAACTCTTGGCTGCTTTCAGAGTTAAAACTAGAAAAGTTTAAACATTACAAGGATTAAGACGTTGCAAATTCAAAATACAAAGGCCAAGTTAAAACTGTGAGCAAATTCACAGAGAAACACGCAGTACGCACGTTTAAGTTGGAGTAGGAACATTACAGTCATGGTGACCAAAATTATTCTCCTTACAACTGGCCTAAAATGTAGCTCACTGACATTTCAAGCATACTTCTGGGCAATCTCCATAAGAGAATTGGATAGTTCTTGTGGCTTTGAAAACATCGGCATATGATCAGAACCCTTAATCTCGACCACATTTTTAACCCCGCTGTTTGCAATCATCCATCGTTGAAATTCCTCAGTTATTATCAAATCTTTGTCACAAACCACATAAACTCGTGTAACTGAACCGTATTCCTCATTCGAGAATTTCTTCATCTTAGCCACTTCTTCACGAAAGAACGAACTCTTCCTTACTAAGCTCTTGGCAAGTTCCAAATCCTTCAAACACGGACAATGTAATTACATCAGTTCAGGAAATTATAAATACATATATACACTACAAGTTTAAGATAAATATTATGCCATAGACAAATACTGGGGGGGAAATAGAATCATGCTAAAGCATTTTCCAAGATATAATTGCAGTTCTCTTTGAGTGCTTGTGAGAACGATACCTCGATCGGGCTAAGTTGATAGAGAATCTCTTGTAGGCACTTGGGACCAAAGAAAATCGATGTCAAGGGTTGTTCGGGGCTTCCAAATTTCTCAAACCGAGTATCCAACCATGAATCTGCCGGTTTCTTTTCCAAGAACTTTTCCCACAGAAAAAAAGTTTTTCGAGTAAACTTTGCTTGCTTTTATAAATTTATAATAAAGCAAAGAACATGCAGATACAAATTGTAAGTGAAAGGTCTTAGGTTCGAATCTCATGAATAACGAGTTCGATACTCATTTATTCTGCCACCCTCAGTGTAAATATATCAATGCGTCAAAAAAAGAAGATGCAGATACCTGATCCATAACATAAGACGGCTGGTGAGTTGTGTCGGGCAGAAACGCAGTCAAGAAAACAGCAGCAGAGATTTTGTGTGGGAACTTTTCCATGGCAAGGGACAAGTTCATGCCTCCAAGACTATGTCCTACGAGGATCACCTTTTCGTTTGGAGCGAGCGATTCTATCAACTCTAACAAGGGCTCAGAGTACTCAGTAAGTGAGTGAACATCTTGTATGGCCTTCATGTTGATGCCCGATGCTGAGAGGTTAAGCACGGTGACTCTGTGACCACCGGACTCGAGCTTGGGTTTGATCTTGTACCAGCACCAAGCCCCATGACCCGCGCCGTGTACTAGAACAAAATGCGCCTTCCGTTCTCCGTTGGATCCTGCCATTTCCTCTGTTGGGTATGAACTACCACTCTACAACTGCATACAAAGATGGCTAAAGCATGTACTAACTTTTCAACGCCGCGGTAACATTACGGGACATTTGCATCTGATAAGTGTGTAGTAGTAGATAAGAGAGAAACTAGAGTAACCAAAAGAATATAAGATAAACTATTAACCTAATCTCCTAAAAGACTAGCTCAATGTGCAGATAATTAAGAAAATATGTCCAATGCATTAAAATTCAAATTGTGTATCCGATCCGAAATCTGGTAGTAAAAAATGGCAAATCAAAGAAAATTCAAAAACTGCGTATCGCTCTTTGTGCAGTGATGAAAAATATCGAATGTGAAGAGAAAAAGAGGAAAATTCAAAAGCAAATCGCACTACTCCCTATTCAAGAAAACATCATATACCCCACCTTCATAATTTGTCATGCTACCCTATCTTACTTTAGTCACACCTTCTCTCTCACAAACTCCAGTCCGGTTTCTCCACCCGAGAATCTCTCATGGACGCAGACATCGGAGGAATTTACTTACATGTGTATGACATCACACTTGGCATTTCATGACTCGTATATGTCACATCATTCGTGCTTTGATCTTCAAGTGGCTCTACCACTAGCCGACTTGGAGGGACTACTTGTCAAGTCACTTGGCAAATGTGTTTGCACGTGGTCAGCAAAATCATCTTCTATGATGGAAGAACAATTTGTATGGTACAAATTTATCCTCTTGATAACAACCCGTATCAATCAATTCGTTAGTGTGTTCAACGTAAATGTGTTTCTTTATCAAGCATTCATGTAGGAGTAATCTTATAACATATTACTTACCCACATAAATGAAACCTTAACATGTGTGCAATAGGCGACTTCGGTCTACCAAGACTCGATAAAATAACGATTTGCATGTTATTTCTGTAAAAATAAAAAAAATAAAATAAAAAAAATTGAACGCTACGCACGCTATTCCTGTTGACCTTCCTCCCAGTAATATTTGCCGGATCCGCCAGCCATATACCTATAATAAATTATTATTTTTAATTTTTAAAACATTTTTACACACTCAATTTGACCTTTTAAAATGCCTATAGCGTTTGACCCGGCTATTTTGCCTTATTCAAAAGGACTTAAATTATTAAAATGAGCACAAAGTAAATAAACAGTGAAAGCCTTATCAATTTGCGTTACGTGAGTAATTTTGTTGTTCTAATGATGAGAGAGGCTAAGACTAAAAAGTGTAAAGTAACTAATTTTTAGTGGCTATGACTTCTGTCTTCATTTAATAGAGACTAGTTTGTCACATCATGTGGTATACAAAACTCAAAAGTAGCAAAAATGTAGTCTCTATAGCATTTTCTTTTGTCAAAACTGAAAACAAAAGGTAGTTAACAATTTATTCAATTGGGATTTTGAGGGATTTTAATGTATTTATAAATTCATATATTTTGATGGGGTTTAATTGATTTATAAAGATTTATGTAAAATTTTGATTCAATTCTCTTGAAATCTCAATGGAAGATGTGAGATTTGTAAGTGTTTAAAATATACCAAGAAATCTCTTCAATTCCCTTAACTTCCTCAACTTTTTAATTTTTTTTAAAATTAATTCATAATTGAATACACCTGAAATATTTTATAATCATTTTTAATATTCTAATTAAATACATCCATATTTTGAAGGACTTAAAACTAATGAAAATGACTTCAAAACTTTGAATCTTAACGAAAAGTATCATGCCATTTAATACTTCGATCTAGCAGTAGTCTTCTTCACTTGTAAGTGAGAGGTTTTAGGTTCAATTTTCATCAAATGTGAATTTAAATCACATTACTACTAGCCAATTGTGAGGTTTAACACCACCTCTCCTTTAGTATAGATAATATTATTTGTTTTAAAAAATAAAAAAAATAAAAAACAAAAGTAACTTTATTTAATAAAAATGACTTGAATTTTAATGAATCACAAAAGTTTAACATAATAATTAAAAAAAACTTAAATATGTTTCCCCTCCTTTCTTTCTCTCTTCTCTTCTCCCGTTCACTTCCTCTTTATATATGTACTAGCATATGTCTACACACTTTATGTGTGTAAACATTTTTTATTTTTGTTATTAAAATGTGCAGGAGAGAGAACGTGGGAGTGGAAGTGGGGACAAGGTTTTTTTGTATTTTATTTTTAATTTTAAATATGGGATAGGATCAATGAACAAATATTTTTACACTCTTTTTAAGCCTTTCAAGGATCCTTATTTATTCATTAAATGATATGGATGCTTATATAAATTTTAACTAATATTAAAATATAAAAAAATTATAAATAAATAAAACTAATATTAAAAATAAAAATAAGATGAAAAGGAATAAAATCTGGAATGAATTAAAAATAAAATTAAAATGGAAGAAAAGCATGTAAACCAAAAAAGAATAAAACTTCATTGATTCGTAGCCTCCATCTTCCTTTTTGCCGATGATTATTTCCAAAATTACTTGTTTGAAAAACTGTCTATCAATATAAACTCTTATCAGAACATAGTTTTCCTCATTGCCTTGAGCTTTGTTTTCTTTTGTGGCTATTTATGAGGAGCATACTTTGCTCTGTTTTTTTCATTGAGCCGCTCCTGTACTTTCTTGATGTGAGGAAGAAGATGGATGCGATGGCAGAGAGGACGACAATGACGATGAGGGCGTTGAGGTGCCAGAAGTTGCAGACCTCATCGACCAAGAAGGAGATGGAAGCTACGAATCAATGGAGTTCTACTCCTTTCTTCTTTGTGTGTGTGTATTTATTTACGAACGATATTATCACAGTAAAAGGAAGGGGGTGGGCCTCACCTCACAATGGATATAAATAATGCGGTTCAAATTTGCCTTTGGTAAGAATCGAACCTACGACATCTTACTTACAAGTGAAGGGAAACACCACTTGACCGTAAAACTAAGTAACAAATTTATTAAAAGAATTAAAATCTCTCAAAATCTCAATCGAAGACACCCATGTTTTCAATTTGAAGTTTTCAAAAAGAGAAATGATTTTGACATACCATTTCTCACCTTATACACACTCATGTAGCTTCGTAGCTGTTAGATTGAACAATTAAAGTAAAATCAACGGTCAACATTAATAGAAAGTGTGCACAAAGTAATAAAAGGTGTGATGAAATCACCACCCTGTCAAAAAATGTATACTAAAAGCTAACAATAATGATTATCAAACTGCTTTATAGTTTGAAACTTTGAGTTTTTAGTTTTCTTTTGTGTCTTTTCTTGAGCCTCTCTCTTACATTTATCCCACCATCCTTTATTTACTCATCATCCTTCTTTATCCTGTGTATTTTCATTCTATCACTAGCACAAAAAGTAAAAACAAAAATAAAAAACAAAATTGATATCAAACAGATCGCTAGACGTCACAAACAATCCAAGATAATAGAGCCATGATTTCAAGGGCTTCCATCTTCTTCCAATAAAATTAATTTCAATCTGCTTTATAATTATCAACTTAGAAACCCCACCACTAACTAGGGTAAGTCCTTAATATTCCGAACTATTCAATAGTCTGCTTCATAGTTAATAGATTGGCAAGTAAGTGGAAAATAATATAAAATTTAAGGATTTTTATCACAAATAGTCCCTAACATTCACTACCCCACATCAATTTGGTCCTTCCGTTAAGATTCCGCCAACTATTATGTTAGTTTGAATGTGGGATCCATAAACCCAATCAGTGGTGGAGCCAGGAATTTAAGACAATTGGGTCAAAAGTTGAGCTTCTATTACTAATCACGCAAAGCAAGCAATTATGAATTCTAACATTGCCTTAATGTTTTGTTTGTCATTACCTTGAGGGTCATGGATGGCTCTCCTGAGAAAAGTGTTGTCATCTTTGATAGTATAGTTCTGGCCACACCAAGTATGTCACCTTCTTTGAGTAATAGATCACACTTCTTTTCGGTATTATTTCTGTGAATTAAGCTGAAATAAAAGAACGAGCATTGAATACAAATGAAGCCCCCTGAAACAAAGAAAAGAGTGGCCGAAAGGGAAACTGTAAGTACCTTTGACATATTGAATTGGAGACGGATGAATTACCCAAAAACAAAAGTCCGATTTGGGAAATCGCTGAGAAAAATGCTGAAATGATTGAATTGGTTAAGATTAGATGTTTTTTTTATAGGCTAAAATTAAAAAAGAGAAAATGTGGGAAAAGTGAATGAGAGTAGCAGTAGACTAGTAGTCACGATGGTGGGAATATTTAGCAGGGGAAGAAGAGGCGTTGATGGAGTGATGGCTAACAAATGGAGCAGCAGCTCCTTCTTCTTCTTGTTTAGGGTTGTCGGCACCGAAAAGGCTTTAGGTGTTAAGGGAAAAGAAATCACTCAAGCTGTACAAAAGTGGACAGAAGGAATGTAGCAAGTGGATGCACATTCTGGACAGTTTGAACAGGTGCATATGGATACCACATCCTGGTCAGCAAGGGTTTGCACGTGGTGGATGCACATCATAGGCGTGGCAGCTGCATCATGGGCAACAAGGATGCCTTTTGTTTTATATTTGATTATTGCATGTGTGTTGTATGTATATGTATATGTATATAATAGCTGCTCCATTTGCAGCATTGCGCACATCAATAAAACATTTTTCAATCTCAAATTTAATACTAGGCCTTTCAATTGGGCCACAAGGTTATTGGGGTCAAGGAATCCCATTGCGCCCACCTTGGCTCCATTACTAAATCCATTGAAATTGTGACACGTGGATTACACAAAATATGGGTTTTTATCGTAAATAGTCTCTGATATTGATCCAATTCCTCATTTTGTTCCCTGAGTTTCAAAAATCGATAAATTTGGTCCATGTTTCACTACCGCACATCAATTTAGTCATTCCGTTTAAAATTTCATCAATATTTTTCATTTGTGTGCTAATGTGATCCCACTAATCCAACCATATGGCTTCACATAGATTAACTATAAGAAACTCTTTTTGAGCATACCCTGATGAAGAAGACAATGACTTTTTTTCTTTTAGTTCTGGTTTTTTGTTTCTTATTTTACTTTTAGTTTTAAATCTTCAAAAAAATATTTTCTTGTAGTTAATCCACGTGGCGCCGTACGATTGGATTAGTGGGACAAAAAAATATTACGAAACTTTAACGGAATGATTAAATTGACGTGTAGTATTGAAAGTTAGGGACCAAATTTATCGATTTTTTAAACTCAGGGACCAAAATAAGGAGTTGGATCATTGTCCGGGACCATTTGCGTTAAAAACCGTTATTTTGTGTAATCCAAGTGTCACAATTTCATTGGATTTGTGGGTTCCACATACAAACTAACAAAATAGTTGACGGAATCTTAACAGAATGACCAAATTGATGTGCGGTAGTGAATGTTAGGGACAAAATTAAT